CGGGATACGCCCAGAGTCACGGAACGGATTAAGTTTGTATCCCGAGGTACCACTGTATATACTTTAATAGTTCTTAGATAACTTCTCTTTGTCTGTAACACACCTAAGATGATTATTCTATTTATAAAATGTATATCTGGCATGTTTAGTTTGTGTTTTTTTTTTTAGTTTGTGTGTGTGTGTGTGTGTGTGTTTTTACAATCTTAAAACTATAGACAGATTGTCTGGGACCTGCTGATTAATTTACTAAAAATAAGTAAAACCAAAATCAAAATCACCCTCTTTCATATGAACCTGCCTGTACAATTCAAGTCCATCACAGAGATCAGTCTGGATGTTTCCCAAGAAACCAAACAGAGAGTGGTTGAAGAAGAAGAGGAAAATCACAGAGATCTTTTTCTGAGATGTCTCTTAAAATCTGTAAATGTTACAGGACTAGAATCCTGGGCATAAGAATACTTGGACAGCTCAGTAATACATTGAAAAATGAGGGTCTATTCTTGATCCAAAGAATGGAAATCATGCAAGCCATAGAGCATTTTGAATAATGAACCATTAGCAAGCAAGGTGCTAAATTTTCTGTGGCTGCAGAACTAGTAAAATGATAGACTTAGGTGAGCAATTGTTTTAATATAGCAGCAGGTAGAATACACTGCATATGACACTGTTGCTACTTATAATTTAAAAATAATCTGTAGTATGGGGTAATGGTAGACACAATTTATCCTGAATTTCATTAATTTCAAAAGCAATTAAGTTTCTGTGTTGTGTTCCTTGGCTAGAGGCAAAGTGAGAGATTTTTAAATGGGCAATTTTAAGATACTTGTCTTAATATCTGGTATCACATATATACTTCTACTGAGGTTTTTTAACCATTCTATACTGATGCATAAAAAGAAAATCATGTGACAAATGCATAAATCATTCCTCCAGAAAACTGCTTTAGAAATACAGGTAAAATTCAAATCTGCAAACAGCATTTACATATATCTCACCCTCCAAAAGAGAACCACAAACAATGGATTTCTTAAGCCTGGATTTAATTGTAACCTTTTATTTTTCAGGGTATTTTGGTTTAGCATCTTTTCTTCAGTGTGCATATTACAGATCTCAACGTTTTTACTTAAGGATTTTATCTTACATTATTTCTTTAAAACAGAACTGTCACGTTTCAGTTCTGAAAACCTTATTGAAAACCTTAAATACTATTTTGTACAGTGTTTTTGTTGTTATCTAATCGTTATAGCAATAAATTCTTCCTCACAAGGCCTCTGCTTCTCAGCCTTTAGAAATAAATACAAGATGAAAGTAACATATTAGAGAAAAATACCCCGTTATTAGCAATACACATGCTTTCATCTTAGCATATTTTAAAGTATGGTATTTGCTTTCCTTCTGGCTTTCAACAATGTGTAGTCATAGTTTTTACAATATATTTAGCTTTAAGATCTTTTGGAGATATATCAACACTGAATTCATTTTAAAGATGTAACCTCAGTAAACAGTAAAAATAAACATTAAACATTAAATGTCACATCAAATAAATTGATGTTGTTATAATTTGAAGACTGAATATGCATTTTATGCAGACGGAAGTCTCAAATCTTTATTCTTTAAAACGAACAGTTGGCAGAATTCCTGAAGTATACCTGACCAGAATATTTCGGTATTGATTTCAGGCAAAGTTTAACTTTACTGGGTGAAATGATTCATAAAACTTGTTTTATGGCATCCCTTGCATTGTCTCTATGGGGCTAAAATGAAATCAGGGATCAGAGTTTGTAAAATAAGAAAAATACTTCCATACTTACGGTTGTGGGGGCTGGGGTGGGTGGTGGGGCATAAGATGGCCTTTCTGTTTTAAAAAGAAGAGGGGGAAAATGACTATGTAGAGGAATTGGAACACAGGGACACCAAATTAAGTTTTGAATAGCAAATCAAAATATGAATGAATGAAAAAAAAAACTATGCAACTTATGAAAATAGTTCAAACATTATTACAGGAATGCCCAAGTTGTGGCTTTCAAGTTTGTATGCAGCTCTTGAGAATTCACAGAAGTGACTGAAACAAACAAATCCAGGAACATTCAACAACACAAGACACTTACTCTAAGTCCTTTTGTCCTCCTGGCTAGATGAAGACCGATCCGCTTGTTAAAGTGATACAATTTTCTCATGTAACTGAACAAGTTTAGTCTCTACACAGGGTATGATTTATTTGCCTTTGCCCTGTGAGGGATGTTTTATGCATATGAGACAGAATAATTCTAAACTTTTTTTATGCTTCATTTAACAGACAGCAAAAATTTAATGTGCAAACATTTTTGCACAAGTACCCACCCCCAGCAACAAAGTTAATGTACAAACTTTTATTGTGTGCAACAAAATTATGCAAAAGCACTCATAATATCTTCAAAACCAAATGTTAGACCTCAAGGAAGACTGCAAAGAAAATGGGGTAGCTAAATCTAGGATTAAGTCAGTGGTGATCAACATCAAGGTTCTAACATAAAGGGACTGTTACACAATACAGGGATTGCAGAGAAAGGATGGCATGGATGGAACAGTATTTAGAGATGATTGAGTTTGAGATTTATTCTTGATTACACTGGATTGGATCTAGACTTAAATATGCATATAGTAGTTCAAATGAAAATTAATGACTGAAATAATGACTTTAAATTTGACTTTAGAACTTAGTTACTTACTTTAGTTACTTAGTTATTACTTTAGCTCATTTTTGCTACTTACTTAAAGCTACTAAATGTGCCACCATAGCATTAAGACGATCCCTATGGATGTTGTGGAGAATCACAGAGCTAGCAGTATATCTGACATATTAGATTGAACTACATAGATTCATCTTATATAGAAATAATTGGGTAGGTTCAAACATGGCATTAAACCATGGCTTATTGAAACTTGGCTTGTTGAATAGCCCATAAAAACTAATTTCACATTCTAATCACAAAACATAATACCTGAAGTCACACAATATGCTAAGACAAAACAAAAGAAGACACATTAAGGTGAATCTAGCCAGGGTGTTAAATGGAGTTTACTCTCATACAGGTTTGTCCACAGGCATAATCTGTGCTGAGCTATAGAATAATAACATCTATGTCATTTTATATGTGAATACTGTAGATTAAACTAAAATAAACAACAACAACTTAACTTACTTGACATTTTGGTAGATAAAAGTTTCAACCAGATGACATTAGATCTGAAAAACAGCAATAATAAAATGCTGTAAAACAAAGTCTATCTTGATACATTATGCTCGTTGGCCCAGTGCAGTTCATTAATAACTCCTACAGTTAACATTGAAGAGTATACATAAACACACGAACACTTCACTCCTTTACTGTGTTATCATTTTAAACAATGGCAAACTTATTATAGTTCCTGAGTTCTGAAGTGTATGAATAATTTACAATCAAGATCTATAAGTAGTAAGGAAATATACCGAAAATCTTATTTCTCAGAAAAATGAGTAGCATCTTACTTGATAAAAATGAATACATCCACAGTGACACAATATCACTGATGTTCAAGTACTGTTTGTAGTCTGCAATTCAAATTTTTCATTACTAGTGTCATATGATCAACCTGGATCACAAAAGTGTTCTATTAGGTATTTTTCAGCCATTTTGTATATATGAAGAGACAGCAGAGATGGAAACATACAAATAGCACAACTAGGGGCAAAATCAATTGATGGTTTTTACACCTATCATTATCTGTAAGTCATACCTGATATTTAAACACTAAGTAGTTGTAATACTTTTGAAACAAGCAAAAAAAAAAAAAGTAAAAATTTCAGAAAGGACGTTTTACAGCTTATTATAATCAAACACCTTTTTCTTTCATTTACAAATATGGAAAAGGAAACTCTTGGCCTATGGAACTTTAAAAATTCAGTTCCTTGAAAACATTCTGAAGTGGTAGAGTTCACAGGACTGTACCACAATATACTCTCGTCCTTAAAAAATACTAGACAACAAAAAACTACAATAAAATACTAAACAAAAATGATGAAAAGGGAATGAATTCTAAACATGAACAAAACAAAGGAAAAAATATGGTCGATACATAAAAGCAGCTCAGTTTTTAAACAACAAATTAAATCTTGCCTACATGTAAGAACATGGATTTATGCTAATAGGAAGCATGAGAAAGTATGGTTCGTGCAGATGAGAATAAAATGTATTTAGGAGAATAACTTCTGATAAGGAAAGAAAGACGTAAAATGTACAGTGATTGTAATGGAAACAAAAAATCATTTGGAAGTGAGTGAAAAAGGCTAAACAAGGAGACTTCAGCAAAGTGAAATTAAAAATAAAAATGATGGAATTATTTGGGTTGAAAGGAGGGGATGCTGGAAAGAGGCCATACTGTTTACTATTCAGGACATGAAAAACAAAGAAGATACAGCATTACTTTCGTAATCAGGAAGTATATAGCAAGAACAGTACTTGAGTACAATGGAATCAATAACCAAATATTATTAGACTTCGCAGCCAAATCTTTAATATGATGATCATCCAAGATTATGCTCTAATCACTCATGCACAAGAAGAGAAGATTGATGAGTTTTAGGGTAAAATTCAATTTGAAATTGACAAAACATGCAAGCTACACACGCTGCTTGTGGCTGGAGAGTAGAATGCTAAGGTTGGAAATAATAAGGAGGAAAATGCAGTCGGACTGTATGGACTGCGAAACCAAAATGAAGCAGAATAACTTATCAATTTCTACCAATCCAATGATATTTTCATTGCTCACAGTCTTCCAGTGACAAAAACAATGTCTATGTAAATGGAAATCATCAGATGGAGCACAGAGAAATCAAATTAATTATATTATTGATACAAGGAGTTTGTAGAGCTCTATTACAACAGCAATGATGTAGCCAGGGGAACTATGGAACACATCATGAACAGCTCATGTGAAAGTTTCAAGTCAAGCTAAAGTGAATGAAAGTCAACCAGTTTCCATGATATGACCTTCAGCACACTTCATTTTTAAGCAGAACATCAGGAGCTTTAAAATCCTGAACCTCTCTGATAGGGAACCAGAGGAACTGTGAAATGAAATCAAATAAGTTATTAAGAGTGAATGTAAAAAGAGACTGCTGAAGACCAAGAAACAGAAGAAAGCAAACTATCAGAGCAAATGGTGAAATTGCCAAGAAGCCAAAGCCAAAGCCAAAGCCAAGAAATATAATGTAAAGACACTGAAGATAGAAATGGACAGGGACAATCAACCTCCCAAAAGATTTTCAAATTCAGGAAGAACCAGCCTTGAATAGAACACTCAGGATGCCAATGGACAGGTAGTAACTGATTCACCAAAGATCAAACAAAGATAGAAAGAATATACTGAAATTTTATAGAGTAGAGATGTTAGCAACCAAGATATCTTAGAAGATATTCCCTACTTACAAAACCTTCAGTACTAGAAGATGAAGTCAGATCAGTACTCTAGTCAGAATGCTATTGAAGGAGTATCTACAGAAATATGGCAACCAACAGAAGAATATGCAAAGGTTCTAACCAAACAATGCCAGCAAATCTGGAGAATGACACAATAGCCAATCGATTGGAAGAGGTTAATTTACCTACTAATACCAAAGAAAGAAGCCTTAACAGATTGTGCAAATTATTACATAGCATCCTTAGTTAAAGGTTCTAACCAAACAATGCCAGCAAATCTGGAGAATGACACAATAGCCAATCGATTGGAAGAGGTTAATTTACCTACTAATACCAAAGAAAGAAGCCTTAACAGATTGTGCAAATTATTACATAGCATCCTTAGTTTCACATGCTAGCAAAATAATGCTTAAGATAATCCACCGCAGACTAGAACCCTTCATGGAAAGGGAGATGCTAAGCTGGCTTTAGAAAAGGCTGAGGAACAAGAGACATTATACTGATGCATGCTGGATAATTAAGAAAGCCAAACAATACCAAAAGAAAGTATGTGCTTCATTGATTACAGAGAAGTTTTTGATTGTGTTGACTGTGTCAGGGTGTGGAATGTCCTTAAGTAAATGGGAATACCAGAACATCTCATTGTCCTCATACAAAAACTATATACTGGTCAGGAAGCCAGGTCCAAATGGAACATGGTGAAACAGGCAGGCTCCAGTTTGGCTCCTTTTATTTATTTAACCAATATGAGGAATATACGTTGAGGGAAGCTGGATTTGGAAGAAGATGAGTGTGGTTTTAAAACTGGAGGAACAAACATCAATATCCTGTGCTACGCTGATAACACTACTGTGATATCCGGAAATACAAATGAACTATAAACTCTAATAATGAAAATCATAGAGTGAAAATATGGAACTAACATTAATACAAAGAAGACCAAACTAATAATAGGTACAGTAACTACCCTTAAAACTGACAATGAAGATACTGAAGTGATGGGTAGCTTCTGCCTTTTAGGATCAACTATCAACAGAAAAGGAATCAGCAATCCAAAAATACACCATAGATTAGCACTTGGTAGAGTAGCAATGACAGGCTTGAAAAAGACATTCAGATACTGTGATGTGTCTATTCTTCCAAAGATTAGAATCACAGTTTTCCCTGTGATATTCTACAGAAGCAAAAATTACACTTTAAGAAGCAGGACAGAAAGAGTATTGACACTTTTGAATTTTGGTGTTGGGGAAGACTCTTGAGATACCATGGATAGCCAAGAAAACAAACAAATGGATCACAGAACAAATCAATCCAGAGGCATAAATGACCAGGCTCATAATATATTTTAGACACATTATATCTAGCTCTTTTGATAAGTCTGTAATACTAGGAAAGGTGGAAGGAAAGAGAAAAAGAGGACAACAAGCAGCAAGATGGCTCTTCAGCAAGTGTCAATGTAATAAAGAAAGTAGTATATGCTTGCAAATTTAAAGAAAGTGTATGATAAAGGAAATACATTTGAATTATGGGAAGTTTTCCATGAATAGAATTGAAAGGTGGTTGCTGAATGCAATAGGAATAGTTAGCAAATTGTTCAACACTAAGCAGGGAGTAAAGCAAGGATGTATGATGTCCTCTTGGTTGTTTAACATATTTATGGATATAAGGAATGCTTGTAGTGTTGTTAGAGATTTTATTTATTTAATTTGGATGCCGCCTGACTCCAACCAACTCTATTGAATGTATATGTACTTTTATATATACATGTATATATAAAATACATGTATATATATGTATTTTATATATACATTTGTATATGTATAGCACAAATGTATATGTACTTTTCTACACAGATAATGCTACATTATTTGTTGAGAAACTCAATAAACTGCAGCAAAAGCATGATCTATAAGGAACATGGACCTGAAAATTAATCTATCAAAGGCAAAACAATGTTGTGTTTGACCAGGAAAATGGAATGAACAACTGCAAGTTATACATAAATGGCAAAAAACTAGATGCATTTGTGTACCTTGACAGAATGTTTTCTAACGATGGGAAAATGCACCGAGAAATTTTAAGATGTGCAAAATACTGATAGTGGATTATAGTGTTCTGGCCGTGTATAAAACTGTGCTTTTACCCACTTTGTTATATAGAAGTGAGAGTTGGATATATAAGGAGAAACTGAGTGCAGTGGGAATGTGGGATTCTTAAGAATTCTGTGTGGTAGAGTAGAGGACGTAGTGTCAAGAATGCATGAGTGCTGAATGAAAGAAGACTGTGAATGACAGAAAAAAGTATGTTGAGGTGGTTTGGTCCTCTACAAGAAAATGAATAACACATACAACACAAACATATGGAGGAAAAATGAATGAATCTTGAGGAAGGGGAAGACCAGGAAACTTGTGATTGGAGTTGATAAGATTTTCAAAGCAAGGGAAGTAAGAACCTTACAGAACAAAACACCATATATGAAGTTGTATACTGACATGGCAGAAGCAAAGATAGTAGAGAGGTATAGGAAATGGTTGACATAAACTAGTTTTAGCAATGTTTACTATTTTTTACACTTTTTCTGCTCTATGCATAATGCTGTTTAGTCTGAAAGAAACAGTGTGATTTGTGTATATAGTATTCCCCCCCCCCCCAATTCCATGCTTAGTATGTAAGAACAAAATAATTGCTTATTCATCCCTCTTTTTCACTTTCTTCTCTCCTTTTTTGGCATTTACATGCCACTCATAGCAAGGAACTGGCCTTTTAGATTTCACAAGTCATCACGCATTTAGATGACACTAAAACTTCATTAATGTGATACACCAAACCTAGATTTTTTGATCATGTGCTACTGAATAAACCACACTTAGCTTGGTTCACAAAACACTGTAAGGTTTACAAATTGTAATATCTATGTCCACAGAATACATTGTCACAACCAATCACATTTTGGCTTAGGTGATGTGTGAACCATATCTAAATCATATAACTTTACAAACTTTATAATTTGAAATACCATAAACAATAAAAGGTGTGTAGCAGAAATAGGATTTGATGGACTTCAATACTGGTTTACATTTCATTTTCAATATTTTTATTCTTCACAGCTGCTACCAGTTGAAACCTCCGAGTGTCCCTTGGCTTGCTGGTCTAGGAAAAACATGTAATTCTCAGCTTTTCAAAAGGACTTAAGACTATTCAAAATATGCTTTATATCATTTTACTAGTAATCTTTATCATACCTGTAACTAAAATATTATACTGTCAACAAGAAAAGGAAGAGAAACGAAATAATCGTTTGCAGTCCACTACCCAGCTTATGACATCTGACCTGAACCCATACTGGGATTTTCTTTAAGAAGCAAAAATACACGGCAAAAAATATTAAGCAAATATCTGAATCTCTAGAACCAAATGCTCTGAAGTTAAAAGGGATACTTGTCGTTTTTACAGAAAATAACACAATCCCCCGACCCGCCACGCCGGCCTTGCATTCGCTCTTCATTTCGGCTCATAGAAGAGAGAAAGGAGGAAGAAGAAACGTCTTCAAACGATTACTGCAGTGGGACGCGCCGTAAGGTGGACGTGGGAGGAAGGTTTTTTTCTCACACCGCCTCTTTAAGCGAGGCCAAGGCCGGACTCTGCAGACTCACCGGCTTCACATCGGACCTCAGGCCTCGCTTCTTTGTCTCCGGCCCGAAAGGAACGATGCGGAGACCGATCACAGCTTCCGTTTCCGCTTCAGCCTTTTCCACAGAACTCTTCTTCGTATTCGCAAGTTGCAACAAGCCCAACAAAATATTTTTTAAAAATCTATTATCTTTCCGTTTCAATAAAAAAAGTTGGATTTTTCGTGTAATGTTCTCCCCTTTTTCCAAACAGGGGCTGGGTTCGCACTGTTGTGAAACTGCAAATTCATATGAAAGACACATTTACACGCTGGCACATCTTTGCAGGAAAAAGGTGGAACGGAGGACGCGTTTGCGCGTTAGGTCACGTGGAGGCGAGTTGACGTAACTTAAAGAGCGGGACGCGTTCAAGTTTGCCTGGAGGCAAGAGTGTAAATTCATTGACTAAAGGTCTGGCTCTTTTCGCCTTCCTTTTTTTCTCTCTCTTTGTGGAATGTGAGAAACATACACTAAGCATTCTAAAATTCAGGCTTTTAAATTTTCTGTGATTATCTACAATCCCTAGAAAAAAGATTATACCGAAGGTGAATCTTACACCTCCTCCCTGTGCGTATTTATTGGGAAGGAAGTTCCACTGTTTTCACTGTTTATTAGGCAGGCTTAGATCTTACTTTATATCTAATTGTTTTAAAACGTTTATGAAAACTTTAAACCTCCACAAGTCTGTTTATTTGAAATGTACCTATTGCTACCCACATTCTCCGTGGTCAACAACATAGAGCAATCAACAAAACTCTAAATTACAACAAAGGTACAATAAAACATCCGCCACATACATTTTAAAAATGATAAAATAAAATGAAGTAAGGCAACAATAATAAATAATGGTGAACTTTTATCCTCCCTTGGCTCTCCAAAACCATTCAATTTACAGTATAGAAGTTACAGAAGGTCAATCATGTGGAGGGCAGTGAGGACTGTTCCATAGTGTAGGTGCATCCACTGAAAAGGAGCACCTGTAAAACACACACACACGCAAACGAATGGAAGCAGAAGTAGCTTCTCTGCACCACGACTACAAAAAGCAGCTGAGCACTGGATTTGTCCAATATGAATACACTGACCTTAACAGAAGCATATGGATGGCTTTGGCTGCAAACTCAAACTAGTCCTAATTCTGTTTCTAATTTGCAGTATTGACAATAAGCGACATTCTCTCTGTTCACCATCCCTAATTCAGAAATACAGGAATCATAAATTATATACATATTGGAGAGGCTAATTTTGAAAAGTCTAGAAATGAATTATCTCTTCTCAAGGGCTGAGTTAGAAAAACCTGTTCCGTTTTCCTGAATATGTTACTACCCCAACTCTGTGTTGCATAAGGTTTTTATACTGATACCTATGGATAGTTTCCATTTCTTATGCAGAAGGTATCACATCATGGTTTCCAGTGTGAACTGGAATATCTCTTTTCAATTTTGTATTACTACTTTTGGCGTATAAAATATATGTCATATGTGTACTTTAGTTTTATCAAATGGGGACAGAATGGGTGCAGAGTTATGTGTAAGTGTCCCATATTTTGTTTTCATTGCAGAGTGACTATGAAGTAACGCCTCCCTCTATTTATGTATCCATTCATTTGTTTTAAGCTATCTTCACAAATTTGAAGTTATAGTTAAATTCTATCAAGTTGGGTTTGACTCCTGGTAATTGCCTGGATAAATGTTTGCTATCTTGATTTGCCTCCTGTAAAAGCTTCTAGTTCTTCCAAGGACATTCCAATAATATTTTGATCTTGTCCTTCTACCTTTCTTCTACTTCCCCCAATCTTGCCAAGTATAATAATTATTTTCCACTCGTATCACATAACTGAAGTATGCAAGTTTCTACTTGCTAATCATCTCCTCAGAGGAGTAGTCAGCCTTTATTGCATGACTGATTGAAGGTTTTTACAATCCACTTTCTTAATAATTGTATCCAAATACATAATTTGAAGGCATCTATCTTCTTTCTCTTGCTTTTTCATAGCTATGTATTATCCTTGGAAATACCATTGCTTTAATTTTTCCCATTTTTGTAGTCATTGCAATGTGCCAAGGGGAAAGGCATGTGTTCTAAAGACTCTGTAGTTCACTGTTGTTTAAACATTTAAAGCTGAGATCTTGGCATTGAATCTTCTACGGATAAGAGTCCTGAGTCAAATAAGCGTTGATGTATATATGACCCAGTTGTTTATTTGCTAAAACTCTTCTACAAAGTCTAATTCAACAAACATTTTTGCATAAGATTTATTATAAAAAATTATATACAAAAAATATTGCTACCTACTTGATTTTGTTATTTTTGCCTAAATGAAGGCAGTTGACTACTGAAAACTCTTTAACAGAAGAAGCAAAATACTGTAAGCCATTTATGAAAGAATCCATACTTCATGTTAGGTCTATACTAGGCTTCTTAGGCCAATTTAAGAGTACAAAACAATATGCACCATTTTTTATAAAGCCAACAGAAGCCAAATGTTGGTGGGGGGAGAGCGGGGAATGAAGGGAAATGTACCCTAAAATATAGTTAGAGAAAGGTATTAAGTTCTAATTTCAGGACACAGTAACACCATGTTTAAGTGTAAGATGGTGTTGTCTTTTTTAAGGTGCACAGACTGCACTCACGTATTTTACCTAATGTGGCTTGCTTGATTTTAGTTTAGCATGTTGTGGATGAATTTTTGTAAACTATTGTTTAATGTGTTATGCAATTTTAGCCAAGTATGATATATTCAGTGAATCAGGGTTAAAACTGGGCTTAGTGCTATGCGATGGATTCATTTATCCTATTAAGCAATGGTTTATAGAAAAAAACATAACTGGCTCAGCCCCTGTAAAATGCTAAGCCATACCACCTATTTAACAAAGTACAGGTAGGTACATGCTTATGTGCAGCTGTAAATAATACCCCCCCATTAAAACTCATTTTACTGTAGTTATGATTTACAGTATATGATTAATTCTTCATACAAATAAATAAATTAGCGCACAGAAAAGTAGATGCGTGTGAGGCTATTTTTCTTGATAGTTTGTTCAGTATTCTGTATTATCTGTTGCTGATATAGCTTTTTAATATTGCTAATCTATAAAAATGAAGGATTTTTACTCCATTGTATTACTGCAATTCCAAACCTGAGAAAAATCATACATGTCATACTAATTGTAGCTATCTCTAATAACTGTAGATTTTAAAATTATCTGGGATTCTAACCAGCTCCAGAATTTACAAGCATCTTTAATAAATCCTGATGCAGGGTTTATTTGGCATAGGCCTAGCTTTCTGAAAAGAACTATAATGCTGGGAAAGGTGGAAGGAAAGAGAAGAAGAGGACAACCAGGAGCAAGGTCGATAGACTCAGGTACAGAGCAATGAGTGCACGGTTGGAAGAGCTGAAGGACCAAGTTAGGGACAGATCATGAAGAAAAACTATGTGGTCAGTTAGTGTTGACAACAACTTGATGGCACATAATCAAAAGTTGCATCCTACTATAATTATTGCATTGGATGCAGAGAAGATAACGGGATTATGAATTATTGACTAGTCTCCAAGTTGTCCAAACTCAGCTGCTGTCATAGTAATAATATAGAGGTAGTCCTCGGTTAACGACCTCTTGTTCAGTGACTGTTCAAAGTTCCGATGGTGTCAGGCCCAGCCCAAGAACAATGATGAAACAGTCCAGTTGAGTCCAGTTCCTTTATTTGCTTACACCTTATAGGCAGAATCTTGCCAAACTAAATCTATACTACAGCAACTGGTGGATATATCCTGGGAGATTCTAGGGAATGGCTATCCTGAATCTCTTCTCAAGCTTCCCCTGTGGACTGTGTTGTCTTTTGTCTCCTTTCCCCTACTGGAATGCAGCTCCTCCTTCCTGATAGCCTTGATCTCCCACATCATTCTCTTCCTCGTAGATACATTCCATCACAGATGGTGTTGAACAAGTGGTACATATGACTGGTCCTTGAAGTTGCGCCCATCACAGCACCCCCGCAGTCATGTGATTGCAATCTGGGCTGGCTCACACTTAAACGATGTTTGCAGCATTCCACTGTCACAGGATCACCATTTGCAATCTTCCCTGCTGGCTTTCCACAAGCAAAGTTGATGGGGAAGCTGGCAGGGAAGGCTGCAAGTCACTCCTGCCACTACACACAAGGAGCTGTAGCACCCCCTCCCTGCCGAGCTGCACTTGCACGGCACCACAGTACCCCTTCCCTGCCAAGCTGCACTCGCGCAGCATTGCAGCATCCACTCCCAGCATGCATTTGCACAGCACAGCACCAACCCCTCCTTAGCCCTCACACATTTGCATGGTGCAGCAGCAATGGCTCCCCAGCCCCATGCACTTGTATGGCACTGCTGCAACCCTTCCCCAGCCTGCACGTCCTTGTGTGGTGCTGTAGCAACCCCTCTCCAGCCCTCCTGTATTTGCTGCAGCAGCCTCCCGCCCTGTCTCACTCTGTAGTAGTCACTTTAACTGCTTTGCTTGTGGGAAGCTGGCAGGAAGTCGCAAGTTGTGCTCCCGTGAGGTCCTTGCTTAATGACCCATGATCCTCATTTAATGATGGCAATGGGGACTTCTGGGATTGCCGTTGCTAAGCATCACGTGACATTGCGCTTTATGACCGCATCGCTTAGTGATGGAAATTCTGGTCCCAATTACTGTCATGTGAGGACTACCTGTATCATATCTTTAAAAAGAAGCATAAAATACTTTAAATAGAGAGTAAGAGAGTTTAAGTCTATCAGGCTCATTAAAATGTGACTTTTCCCTGTGTGTGTTTATGCCTCTGAGTCAGTTTTTGATTCCTGCGACTGTCTGGACTAGTCCCCATAGTTTTCTTGGCAAGGTTTTTTTGGAAGTGGTTTGCCATTTCCTCCTTCCTAAGGCTGAGAGAGAGTGACTGGCCCAAGGTCATGCAGCTGGCATTGTAGCTAAGGTGGGACTAGAGCTCAGGGTCTCCCGGTTTCTAGCCTGATGCCTTAACCACACCACCAATTTGGTTCTCCTTTTCCTGGGTGCTTTGTATTATATCTATTTAGATGAAATGAATCTGTTGGCATTCTTGGGCATATTTGACTAGAAGAAAGGGAAATATCTGAAATGCGTACTTAAGATTTATATAGCTAAATAAAATATTTTATTATGGGGTTTATTTTTCTTGAATGTAAGCTATTTGGTTTGCCAAATCCATTGTACATACTTTAGTGAACAGCAGTGAAATTGCTTTAATTTGTGATGTTGTTCTTGTATAATGTTCTTACTCTTATAATTTGTGATTTGTGATGTTGTTCTTGTTCTTGTATAAGAACAACACATTCTTATCATAATTTGTGCTAGTTTCAATTTAGGGACAGTTTTGTTATTCTTTGAGATAAAATTAAAATAATGGTAGTTGATGATGACTTGATAGATTGTGTTGCTTTGTTGCATTTGTGCAAAGGCTTGTATAATCTTAAAGGGTTTGGATTTTTATTTTTTAAATAATTAGTAGACTTGTGCACTAATAGCATGCTCTGGTCTATATACTTATTAGTTGGACTAGGTGCATGAATAGGTTGGTCCTAGTAAAGCCAAATCAAATTTTTAAAAATGAAATCAATGTTTGCTGCCTTTAATTATAAGTATGAATGATTTAGACTTCACTGTGTTGTCGAAGGCTTTCACGGCCGGAATACGATGGCTGGTGGGGGGCTTCCGGGCTGTGTGGCCGGGTTCTGGAAGTTTTGTTTTC